AAAGTTAAAGGGTTAAAGCATATAGAACATATTGATCGTCCGTGAAAACCTGATACATAAATATTTTTTTGCATTCTTAACCTATTCTCTTACTCCCATCTCTTAACTCTTTGATATTTATTTGGTCGGTGCATTCAGTTTTCATAGATTTATTGTTATTATTATTTTTTACCTGTGGCAGGGTGCATGTGCATGTAACAATCACTAAAACTGATGCATGTAATGGGGACATTTTCAAGTCTTCTGCTGATTTATATTCATACTATCAAGTTTAAACGAACCTGCTGGTGGACATTTATTGCAGATATACATTCTCTCTCTCACATCTCTCTCATATCTCTCTCCTGTCTTTTCTATCTCTTTTCTCTCTTCTGTCTCTTTCTCTTCTCTTTTCTTTCTTTTTCTTTTTCTCTCTCTTGTCTCTCCTGTTTCTTCTCTGTAATCTCTTCTTTTTCATCTCTATACAAGCATAAGAAACACTGATCAGTTGCAGAAACATACCCACATGGAGACAGTAATAATGATAAATGAGAGTTGTTGATGTATGAGCCTCATCGAAGCCCTCTTCAGTAAGTGAACTATGAAGTACGTACTGCTGGTTTGTTCCTCAAGGTCCATCATCTGTTATAATTCTTTGTCATAAGATGAACTGTTCAGTGACATCAGTACTATCCCATTTGTACTGCAAAATGGTCTTTCTGGACACACGTGAATGGGGTAGACAGGGCAGGCAACTGCTGTCTGTTTTAATGAACTGATTTGATGAATGCCGTTGAATTATTCATCAGATGAAATCACCTGACACAAGTGTTTGTTGTAAGATGACCTATTCAGTGGTGGCAAATCTAAGCAGAGAGAGTTGAAAAAAAAAGAAACAGGTGTTTGGGTGGAATTGGGGATGGTAATGTGTACAGGAGGGCCCTGCTTATATTGCAGGTTAGGTTCTGAGTTACTGCTGTAAAGTGAAACAGCCTTTTTTTTTTCTTTTTCACTTTCACTTGCATATAAAAGCCTGATAACATGTTTACACTATAATATATTAAGCAAGCAATAGAGCTAGGCCTAAAAAATGAACGTACAATACACATTACTTTCCTTAAAATATTTTCATCCTAGCTTACAGTGAGTGGTGAATATATTTACTGTAGGAAGTCTGAATAAATGAAGAATGGGTATAATTGAAAACTGCTGTATTAGTGAAATACCATAAAGTGAAGCTCTATGAAGCGGGGCCCACTTGTATTGACTGTTCTAATGTGGAGCAGCTGCCAGCCCTTTAGCTGTTTGTTTATTTTTCAGGAAAAATTCACAAAGCACATTTTTGCCATATATATATTGCTATTCAATAGTGCCTCTTTAGCAGGGGCATGGGAAATTGGTAGGATCAGTGGATATTTTCAAAGGTTAGGCATCTGTTCTCCCTCTGGCAGACAACGGCAGCTGTGAGTTTTAGCTTATTGGTGCTGGATTTAGTGATCTTATTAATGGAAGCACCTTGTATACAATGGCAAGAAACCCACCCTCACTTGAGTGCAGGGCCTAAGTTAGGTGCTGGAAGCAAGTGACTTCAGTGCAAGGATGTTTATACCATCAGTTTTTAAGTTGTTTCATTATGCAGTCATAACCCTCTTAATGATTTTGATTTTACTGTACATATTATACTGTATGTTCCATACAGTAATGGAAGAAGCTTCCCAATTTTGTGTATAATTGATTTCTTGTGTTCTTTTACATGGAGACTTATAAACTTACTCAAAATCACTTACAAAGTGCAAATTCCGAAACAAGAGTAAGAAACATAACTCAAAAAGAAAAATATAATAATGCAGTTTTAGAAAAATTCTGTTACCAATCTAAACCTATCCCATTTTTGTGGTCTCCCAAAATTTTGCCAGGAAATATTCCCTTGAAGCTAATATTGAGTAAAGGATTATTCTTCTTCAAACTAGTTAATGGTTAAGCAAGCTACATTTCCCTTTTGTGAGGGAAAAATTCTCAAATACATTATTCATTGGCAAGATTTCTAAGGAAAAATAAAACATCTAGCTAAGCAACATGAATTTGTTAAGTCTTGATGTTGACATTTTGTACAAGAGTTAAAATTAACAACAGTGTAATTTCTAAATAAACTTGTGCAATATCAGAATGACTTCACACTTCAAGTGACAAATTCATTATGCATACTAAGTTATGCATTTCTGACACTGGATGTACAATACCTCCCAGTTCTTTCCAGCCTTTATGTGGAATACTTTGGAAACAATAAGTTACCAACTATCAAACCATTTTACTGTTAGAAAAAAGGTATGGGGACTATTTTATACTTGGGAAATTTGAATAATATAGTTTCAATCATTAGGTGTTAGAAAGGGGCAGGTTACCCTTTCTGTATTCTTGTAATCAGAGGTACTAATTCATTAAACTCATTACTTCATCTGACAGGTTAATCAAGTCAGATGTAATCTTGAGATTGTTTCTATGTGCATTCCACAACATTTAGAAAATAAACACTCATTGCACATTTTAAAAGGCTTGGCAATCCATAATGGCTTTTGCCAAAAAATTGAAGCAAAAACCGTTATTAGTTACTGTTGTATAGAGCCATTGCAGAAAATGGAAGCAACACAGTGGCAACTCAAGCCAAATTGCTGAATGATTACCACAAAACATATGCAAGAAGAAGACAAATACTTGCTCACATTAAAGTTTTACAGTATTACCCAAACATAATAGTCAGTTGTGTGAGCATTGGATTAAAAAAAAACAGAGGAAGCACACTTGATGTACCCAATATATAGTTCCTTGCATACACTGCAACTGATCATACAGTGGGTAAGCATGTAAATTTTATCAAATTGAAAAATGTAAAAGATATTTCAGTAGTTTTTCAACATGTTAAGAATAATAATTATGATACTGTGAAAAGTACTTTATTATATATAAAATTGTTTGGCTGTAATTGCATTAAAATCCAACTTCAACATATCACAAGTTGAGGAGAAACTGATACTATAACTTCCCTTATCCTGAAGGTACTTGTGGCTACACTTGACGTACCCTAATATCTTGCGATGGTATTGTGAGCTATTTCTCTCTCACTCTTTAGGACATGAAAAAATAAGTATTGATTACTTTAATAATTTAGAAAACTATCTCTGGTAAATCAGTGGTTGCTTAAACATTGACCTGGTTATAATTGGACATGACCCTTGTCAGGAAATATTTTCCTTTGTTAAAAATACAAATTCAAAATTAAAATTGTTTTTTCACTATCAAAACACTCCCTACATTTTTTTCATCTGAACCACTGATCCAGCATAGGTAAGCCAACAGTCAGTGCTTCTGTGGTGCACTATAGGGTCAACAGCTTGTCCTTAGATGCCTGCTTATTGCCATGGCACATGGACAGCACCACTGACAGAGTCAACTTATGACAAAAATCTAATTTTTACTTGGTGAATAAATAGACGAACAATACAGTACTGTGTGCTTATTAGGCTGTTGAAGAGGGGCTCAATGTGAGGCTAAAATATTTGGTACTCATATTAATTGCTGTGTCACTGTCTTCACGTGAGTTCTTTTGTTCCATTATTTATAACAAACAGGCAGTTCCTGCTTGATGAAGAGTTATGTTTTGAATGAACTTCCATGATGTAAGTTTTTGCAAAGAAAAATCACCTTTTTCAAGGGGAAAAAAAATGGGCATAATTTGTAAGGTAAACAGAACTAAAATTTAACCAAATAATATAAATTCCTTTATCAAGAGATAAAAATACTCAGAATGCTTCCAGTCTTTACATCAGTGCTTTCCATATCACTCTGTGGCCATTTTTCAACTGTTTGGATGCGATGGATGATGGTAAAGGGCTCTTGTTCAAAGAAATTACAGCTGCAGTCTCCAGCCTTGGATCAACCTTAATTGCCTCCCATTCACAAAGCACTGTATGGCCCTTACTGTTTCAGCACTTTTCTTGAATATGCAGTAGTAATTATAATTTCAGACATGATGGAATGTTATCTAATGTCATATCTTGGGTGCCACCTGTTTTAAGATAAATACTAGGGAGGAAATTTGTTTCCATGGCTAAAATGAATACTGCATGTCACTATCACTTCAGTAAGTGATTTAACTTTAGAAATTCAAGAAAGTAATTAATTCATTTGTAGTTAAAAATTTTCCTCATAATCTCATCTTTATTAGAGCCCAATTTTGCTAACTGAGACTTCATAAAGCACTAACTGCCTGTATATGCATGCATATACACACACACACACACACTAGCACAGAGTACAGTAGACATATGTACAGAATGTATGTACATTCACGTATATAAAATGCTGTAATGCTCTGGTGTAGCAGAGAGTGAGTCTGCCATCATAGGTGTAGAGCTGATGTAACCAGAGACAAAAAAATTAAATTTTAATTATAGTTCACTTGGTGCTATTAGTAGCTAGTAATATTCACTGGCACAGTAGGTTTTCTCCTTGTTAATATATTTATTCTTTGTTGTATTTATATTAGATCTACCAAACTGAAATTTTAGTATTCGTTATTTATATGCTAGTAATTTTTAATGAGATTTTTTCTCTGGTTGTGTTGGTGAATATATAAATGGAATGAATGTTTGCATCGAGGTAATGTGTAGGTAGAGCTAAAGTATTGGCCTAGCTGTTAAAATAAGGTTGACGTAAGACACTTGTCATTCTTTTGTATTACAATGTTTATTTAGGTACTCTACATATAATTTTACAGTGACAAATGTTCAAAAGACATACGTAATTATGCTTTGTTCCATTGTAAAACAGAAAAAGAAAATATTTGTAGTTCAGATATTTTAATTGATCTAGAGACAGTTGTAATGCTGCTTTTAACTTTGATATATACTGTAATGCATATTGCTAATCCTCCAAATTGTTTAAGTATTTATTGGATACAGTATACTGCTACACACTACTGCCTTTACTCTCCTGTTACCCTTGCTTTGGTATTTGCTTTGCAGCTTTGAGACATTCGCCATCGCGGCGGAGAGGTGCATCCCTGCGTATATTACGGCCTATGTCCCAGGTAGACTCTGAGCATACAGCTGAAGGGCATGACAGTCAAGAAGGTAATATATGGACATTGAATTATATGACAGTTGGATGGTGTGTAAAATTTGCACAGTATTCTGCATCACACTTTCATTACAGATGGATGAAGAGTTTTGTACTTGTTATTAGTACAATATTATGATACTGTGGTTATCAAAGTATTAATATTTTTGGTTTTAAGGTAGATGTTCATGGTTCTTTTTACAGTTGCTTCCATTTAGTAAGTACTTTTGTGTGAATTGTTGCACTTTCATGAGCTTATAATTGTGTTGTAGATCATTTGATTCATGAAAGCTCATCACTAGTAAATATCATGCAGCAAGATTCTTTGGGTACAGTATATGTTTTTGACACCAGGGATGTTACCTCCAGTGAGAATTTGCCAAATTAAGGCTTCTATTTTTATTATTTTTTTTTTTAATGCCAGTCATTTCTCACCAAAGGAGACAGGATCTTATTAAGAGTTTGCAGTTTTGAATTTGTGTCACTTAGGTGTTGAGCAAATCTTGTAATTTCATAAATTTTTTAGTTATTTTTTTCTCCTGGGGGGGGGGGAGTTAAAATTGTCACACTTGTTCCCTCCTAATACCTACCTTTCTCAGGCCTTGTTTGATCTTGGTTATAATTTGTGCCCAAAACAGCCCTGTTTGCTATACTTAAAGAGCATTATCCTCTTCCTGGCTTGTGCAAGTGCTAGGTACGGCATGCATGCCTGACCAGCTGCAGTTATCATTTGGATATTGTAGTGGCAAAGCCTAGCTACTCTGCTTTTGTTTTACCTTTTTTCTGCTATCTTCCCATCTACCCAGCTGTTGGGTAGGTTTGAGGATATTGCTCATATCTGCTTTAGTTCTTCCTGTTAATGCCACATGTTCTGCCTGGCCTGCAAGAGACTAGTGATGCTTATGGGCTTTTCCAAGGGTGTCCAAGCCTGGTGTGGCTACATCTTTAATATGGACAGCCGAAGTCCCTTCTCCATCTGTGATTAACCAGTCAGGGTGCCATAGTGAAGTGTCCTTCTCTCTATAAGCATTCAGAGCATTTTCATAAACACCTCTCAGGGTTGGATTACTCTCCAGACTGTCAATAATGGTAATCCACATGGGCTTGGGCATAGGGGATTTGTGACTAGTCCAGCATGCTTTTCCTGCTTGTTGTGGTGCCTGTGTGTGTGTGTGTTTGCAGTGTAAGGTCTAATATCCTTGCAGGAGGATTTTTCCTTTGACTTGATGCACATTGGTGCTGGTTCTGCCCTTGGTCAGGTGCAGAGTGGATCTTCCATGTAGTTTCTGTTACAGCCTGTGTCCATTGAAACTACCATGTGACAGCTGTGTTCTGTTTTGGTGTGGATGGTACTATATCAACTGGGGCATCCAGGGTCCCACAGAAAAAAAAATTGCTGAAAACTAGTTTGTATTTGACTTTGGGGGAGCCTGGGTGGCCCTGGGTTTCAATCTGATCAGTTGTGATGCTTTAAATTATAACTAAAGCTGATGAAATAAAAATTAAAATCTTCATCTTTATTTAGGAAAACATTACAGGTATAGGCTTGGGACAGCGTGGATATTGCAATTTATTTATACACTACAGTACACTATAATATTTTTAGAAAGCCCTTATTATTCTCATCTCACCCATAACCATCTGTTTATAGATGCTCCTCTCCTTTTTTTTGTAACATGTGACGTGTTGCTGACTGTGGATCATATTTTAACGCTTAACCTTCAGTTTAGGTCTTTCGGCCTTCATCATGTTTTTTCTTTTTAATTACCAAGGTGCCTGTAGGGTCCTCAGAGCCCTGTAGTTGACCCCAAAAAAAATAAAAAAACTTTTGCCATCATTCACTCTATCACTGTCTTGTCAGAGGTATGCAGATACTACAGCTGAGATGCCCCTCCAAACTGCAAATATCCCTACCCCTCCTTCAAAGTACAGGCACTATACCTCCCATCTCCAGGACTAAGTTCAGCTAACCAGTTTTCCTGAATCCCTTCACAAAATGTTACCTTCCCAATTTCAGGAACATAACTGCTGCATTATATAAGGTCTTACTATACTTCATATTTGGCATAAGTAAATCCTCTTTTGGCCTCTTCTGTTCCTCTTTCCTCTCTTCCATTTCTTCCCTAATTTCCATTTTTTATTATAACTTGAAATTTTTTGTTCCCCTAAATAAACTTTGGTACACTATGAAGGACTTTTAACAATGTTGGAATAAATCCTATTTATAACCTCTCATAGGGTTGTGGAAAATGTGGTGAAGCTGTTGCACTCCATACTGCACTTTCATATGGGACTTCCATGCATAATTTGTATTGGAAGAAGTCACTTTGATTCTTGAGGTATTAAAGTTCTTGAAAACATCCTTCACAGTGTAGGCCTTCCACTGCATTAAGTCTATTTACCAATTGTACACTTGCTAGGTCAGTTAGTTTCATCCAGTAACCTTTTCTCACAACATCCACATGCAAACACAGAATAAACCATACCCCCGGCCGGGATTGAACCCGCGGTCATAGAGTCTCAAAACTCCAGCCCGTCGCGTTAGCCACTAGACCAGCTAGCCACAATAAGATTCATCCAACTAGGTATATTTCTACACCATAGGAAAGTTAGCACAGGCACCTCTGTGACCACAAATGCAAGTTTTTACAGACGAATCTCCAGCTAGCGTGGCCGTGACGAACTCTAGCTCAAGTCCCTTCACTGCCGTCAACATGACTCAAGAAATCGTAATGACACGATTGCAAATAAACCATACCCCCGGCCGGGATTGAACCCGCGGTCATAGAGTCTCAAAACTCCAGCCCGTCGCGTTAGCCACTAGACCAGCTAGCCACAATAAGATTCATCCAACTAGGTATATTTCTACACCATAGGAAAGTTAGCACAGGCACCTCTGTGTAGAAATATACCTAGTTGGATGAATCTTATTGTGGCTAGCTGGTCTAGTGGCTAACGCGACGGGCTGGAGTTTTGAGACTCTATGACCGCGGGTTCAATCCCGGCCGGGGGTATGGTTTATTTGCAATCGTGTCATTACGATTTCTTGAGTCGAGTCAAACACAGAATGTTTGAATTTACATCACACAGCAAATTTGTAGTAGAAATACAGGAATACCTCAGTAATATGGTGGGTTAGGTTCCAGACCGCCCCTTTAAAGCGAATATCACTTTTTATGTGATTCGCAGCCTTTTTTTCACTTGCCAGTGTATACAAAACCCTAAAAACATGTTTACACTATTATTTATTAAGTGTGTAATAGCACTAGGCCTAAAAAACAATGCAAATGTAAAACTGAATAGAATTTTTTGAAAATTTCCAAAAACCACATTAAGAGCAATGCAGTCACCAAAAATAATAAACATGAATGTTATTGAAAAGTGCCATATTAGTGAAAAACTTTTAAAGCGAGCACCGTATTAGCAAGGTATGCCTATAGTTATTGCTTATATTCAAAATCTCATACGAGACCCAAATAACATACTGTAATAAACATGTACTTTTTTGACGTAGATTGAGGAATTTTTGGTATATAATTAAGTGTAAAATCTTCAAAATTTTCAGTACACATAGTCTTGGCTTAATTTACATTCCCACAAAGTTTCAAACATTACCAATACAGTGGAACCTCGACTTACGAGGTTAATCCGTTCCATGACCCAATTTGCTCATATATCAAATTAGTTTTTCTGATTTAAATTAACTGAAATGCCATTAATCCGTTCCAGTGGAATTCCTGTTCTCGGGAGGCAAGACAAAATATTTTGTCCTGCCTCCCGATATAACGCTAATATCAACTCGACAGCTTATTTATCTATCACAGTTGATCTAATATGACATAATAAACAATATAAATAACACAGAAACATGATATATACTTAGGAATGAATAAAATGTCATGTGATGAGTGGTGATGGCCATTCCCGCTCCCACACTGACCATATCTTCCCATGCTCTTCTTATAAGAGAAAACAGAGCGTTTGTGAGGCTAACTGTATTAGATTACTAGTTTCGTAAGGAAAACACTGAAACAGTGTACTTATAAATAAGCAGTATTGTATAAAAACATAATAAAACATAATAGAGAATGTAAAGAAATAAACTGGTTTTATAAAGCGTATGTACATATTTACCTTGGAGAAGAGATGCTGGTGGAGGTTGAGGGTGGAAAAGGTAGGCAGAGCGATGTATGCTGTCAGTTGCCTTATAAACAACAACAATAACATTGGAGGAGTTCGCTTCGTTTTGTCCTTTTTCAATCGCTTAGCTTACTTGCTACACTCTTGTTGCTACACTTTATTGCTGAACTTAATTGCTACAATTTTTTTTTTTTTTTCACTTCACTTTTCACTGATTTTTGGCTTTTTCTCCACACTTTCTTCACTTTTATCTGTGATGAATGGTTTGAAAAACCGACAAGTTGAAGATTGAGACACTTATGCAGCATATGGAAATCTTTATTCAGGAAACGTTTCGCCACACAGTGGCTTCATCAGTCCAATACAAAGAGGAAGGCGTAAGGAGAGGAGGAGAATGAGGTAATCAGTCCCTCAACCTGGAGTCGATGTGTTCAGTCCATCAATCTTGTAGAATGTACAGCATAGGGCCGTAGACGTGGCTTATATACTGTAGTGAGGTGACGTGAAGCAGATGGAGGCGGGGTCATAGTGGTACCATCCACTAGTCGAAGTAGGTCTTCGTCCAAAGGTTGAACAAGTGTTGAAGAATTCTTTGTAACAAGATCCCATGATGCTGCAGTGTCTGACAGTTGTGATGAATGGTTTGAAAAACCGACAAGTTGAAGATTGAGACACTTATGCAGCATATGGAAATCTTTATTCAGGAAACGTTTCGCCACACAGACACTGCAGCATCATGGGATCTTGTTACAAAGAATTCTTCAACACTTGTTCAAACTTTGGACGAAGACCTACTTCGACTAGTGGATGGTACCACTATGACCCCGCCTCCATCTGCTTCACGTCACCTCACTACAGTATATAAGCCACGTCT